TAAGCTCTAAGGCAGTGGTTCTCAACCTTCCTAATGCCGCGACCCTTTAATACAGTTCCTCATGTTGAGGTGACCCCCAATTTCATTGTTACAAATTGAACATAATTAAAGCATAGTGATTAATCACAAAAACAATATATAATTATATATGTCTTTTCCTCGACCCCTGTGAAAAGGTCTTTAGACCCCAAAGGGGTCTCGACCCACAGGTTGAGAACCGCTGCAGGCTATAGCAGCACCACCAACAGGCAAGAATCTCTGTCCTTCCCAGTTTACAGTCTCCCAGGGGCAGCGCGGAGACAGGAGCAGTGTGCCTTGATGCCTGTGGAAGCACCCAGCAGTGGGTGAGCACACGGGAAATACTCAGGCAGCGCTCTGTCCCTCGCTCACCCTGGCCCAGCCACATCTTTGCAGCTTCCCTGAGGCTTCTGAGCACATCAGTAACGCTAGAACCCCATCTGGCTGAAAAAGTCAGCCATCTGGAGATTTGGAAATATGGGGAAACTTCTAATGACTGACTAATTTTTTCCCCCCGGTTTTTCAGCCAGATGTTTGATGTCATTCAGGCCCATCTACAGCAGAAATAGCAGTTTATTGAAACTCTTTTTCATATTTTTAATTTCCCTGTCCTAAAATCCTAAATGGGCTTTCTTTTCTTAGTAGGATTTTTTTTTTTTTTAATGAATCAAAAAAGTGATCCTCGGCTAATGAAGAGCAATTCAGTAATCAAATGTAAAACTATAAGAAATTTGAATTAAAAGGACCTTTTAGATCATTTCCAGGTCTCAGCACTGGCAGCCCAGGGGGCAAATTCAGCTGCAGGGTGAGTGTGACTTTGCTGGCACCGTGTTTTTAAGAAGTTGACTTAGTTGCCCACTTTTTAACAATCAAGAGAGTTTTTACCTGGCATTTTAAAATTTGAATTACTGGGCCGAATTGGAACACATTTCCCCAGGGTAAAAATCAACTGAAGCTAAGGAGCAATCGCCCCTGAGATGGGGCTTGTCCCCAATTTGCCACAGTCCCCACCACTCTCTATTGCCCCCACACTGAGACAAAGTTTCCGTTACCATACATCTTCTTCAATGCACTGCTACTCCCGCCCTCCCCCATAGAATTGAAGTAAGGGGACTGTGAAAGGCCCTTTTTCACACTTTACACTGCCTGCCCAGTCCACACGGAAATCTGGGTTTGGTACGCCTTAATCTTATCTGAAGCTCCCATTGTAGATTTGGGTAAAGCGAGGCCCAAACAAGGAAAGGACACACACAATTGACATAACATTTAGTGACAGAAATGGGGTGAGCTGCCAGGGCTCCTCGCCCCTAGGCCTGTGCAGTGGTCTTTCCACTGCCTCAATGCACTGCTTTGATTGTGCCTAGGGCTCCACGATTTCCCTAATGAGAGCGTCACATGTCAAACAGGTTCTCATTCAAATTCACACACGGCTGTTGGAAGCCCGCAGCAGGTTGGGCTCTCCTCTGTGAGAGCCTTGCCTGCTTTCCAGATAATGAGTCAGGCGTTCGTTTCGGTTTCTCAGTGTGGGTGTCTCTACATAGGTCGCTTGTTTTTTCATTCAAAGCATGTCCTTTGCTGCCTCTGAGCTTGCGCCTGTCTGGTGGCTCCCGTGCCCGCAGACACTGCACAGGCATGCTGAGTGTTCTGGGAACCGGAGCATCTGAATGGCAAGGCCCACGGGTCGGGGCGCCCTCACAAGCCAAATGTCTGTGCCAGTCGCAGCCTGTCCCCCAGAGCCTGAGGGAATGCTCTCCAGCCCATGCCCCGAGAAGCAACCGGGCTCAGGTGCAGTAAGCAACTGCTGAGTTGAGGTGTGTGACCTTGGGAAAGTTACATAACTTCTCCAGCCTCAGTTTCCTCATCTGTAAAATCAGGGTAATAATAATACCTATAGTGTTGAGCTCCTTTGGAGATGAAAGTTCATTTTTCAAAATTCTTAGAACAATCCTAACACCTGGTAAATGCTAACATAACACTGTGGTGAGTGATAGAAATGAACACTGGGCACATCGCCTCTCTGGCTTCAGCAGCCATCCCAGGCCCATTGTAATCACTCAGTTGGCTTTGACTTGATAACTGTTTGGAGGATTTTTAGGAAATTCAGACTCCCTCGGCCCACTGCCAACCTATGGAAGCAGAGAACCTAGTTGTGGGGCCTGAGGATCTATTCTTTTTAAGCTCCTTATGTGATTCTGATGGCCTCCCAGGTCTGAGAGCAACGGATGCACTTGAATATCTTTCTGACACTTGAATACTTCGGTGGTGGGCAGCTCATCGCCTCTGAAAGCTCCCCGTTCTGCAGGGGACACATTTTTAGATTGAGGCCAAACCTGTTTACCTCAAGCTCCCACTTCTACCCCCTGGAGGCCACGCAGAAGGCTTCACATCTCTTTTCCGTATGAGAGCTCTTCAGACAGTGCAGACAGCTGTCATATTCCTGCTGAGCTTTCTCTTCTTTTGGACAAAATGGCCATATTCTCTCATGGGGAAAAAGTATGGACAAACTGACTCCTCTAATTTGCGATATATAAAAAGATGAGCTACAAGGCCCCCATGCCCTAGTTATCCTTTGACACTTAAAGGACCAGAAAAAATGAGGATGTTGAGGCTCTGGAAGGCAGGAGGTACCAAGCGGGGGAGGGCTGTGCACCTTCATGTCATCAGGCAGGGCTCTGTCTGCGGCATGTGCCACGCAGAAGCCAGAGGCCCCTGCAAATGCCAACACGTGAGGTAGTCAGTACATGAAGGCAAATCTTGGCTTCCGTTTCATCCAGGCCCATCTAGGTGTTGGCTATATGGATGTACACACAGCTAAAATTTTATTGTGATTCATTGAAGTTTCTGTATCTTACAGTGTTTGATACTTCAAAAATATAAACAAAAATGTAGCTGGACCAAATTTTATGGAGGCTGCAACCAATATTCTCAAGAGAATTCACCTGACCAAGAGCATGTCTTAGCTTCACCAAATCCCACTTGATTCAAATTCTCACTTCTCACAGAATGCCTGGGTGGGGCTCTGATTCCTTGTGCCAACTGTGGGTGTAGGAAATGCTGCTGGAGAAAAGAGAATCCATCAGCTGAGAAATGCTAAAGGTTCGGGAATCCTAGGCCCTGAAGGGGAAATTGGTGTTTAATTGTGCATTCCAAGGTTTAGTTCCTAGAGGCAGAAGAGTTGGAAATAATTGAAACATGGTCTACATGTGCAGACATCAGTAGGAATCTCCGATTTTTTATGCCACCCCTGGAACCATGTAGGCATCAAAATATCCACAAAATCACAGCTTTACAAATGGTAACTCAATTCCTTATTGTCCATATAAGAAAGCAAATTACGGAATTTTCCTTAAGTAAATGACTTCACCAAATCCAACCACAAACAACCACAAATGTTAGCTTCTTGACAATGTTTAGGAAAGAATTATTCTAGAATTTCCATCAGTACACTGGATACAATATGAGCTTTGGATAGTGATAATTTAATACCACCTATTCCAAATTAATAATTTCCCAAATTAATAAACTGAGGGTTGACAGTGGCAAATGTCTTAACCAAGGTCATACAGATAATTTGCAGCCTTGCCCAGGTATTCTGACTTCACACACAGAATCCTTCTTGCATTTAAAGTATTCCTCTCCCACCTGGACTTCCCACCAGTTGCAAATGTGCATTGGAAACAGACTCTGTTGCAGTAACTCTTACAGGCAGGAGAGCAGTTGATCAGAGTGTCAGGACACGGGAAGAAGGCCAGGGAATGAAGCAATATTACACTAGCAAGTGATGTCATAGCATGACTTCCTAAGCGGCTGACATAGATGCAAGTCTTTAAGAAGCCCTGGCAAGTGTCAGCCAGTGAGAATGCAGGCTGGACAACCAATGATGAGCAGGGGAAGGGAGCATATAGGGAATCAAGATTCTCTTACCCATCACTGTGACAAGCTTCGCAGGTTCCCTAGAAGCCCAAGAAAACTCCCTTTTAACCCTTTAATCCAGGGCCTTCCCTCAGGCACCTAGGCTCCAAAAGCTTCGATTTTGTTCTCTATCTTTCTGCTCTCTCCCACTGACATCCGGCCATTGCCCAGTGATGCTCAGAGTGACTCCAGTGGAGTGAAAGCAAGTTTAATAGTGAGACAGGCTACCGAAGAGCTTGACATTCTAAAATCGATCTGTCCTCTTCATTGTAATTAAGCTGATTCTCAATTTTTAAAATTAGAAGTGACAAGCTTCCATTCTTAAAGAATCAATCTTTTGCAAATATCATGAAAATATATCTGTTCAATTTGGGGAAGATTTAGGAAAGAAGAAAGGTGTATACCAAATACCAAGATTTCACTTTTGTTTTGATCCCCAAATAATAAAATGTGTATTTATAAGGACATTTTCTTAAAGTGTGTGTGTGTGTGTGTGTGTGTGTGTACGCGTGCGCGTGCATGTGTGTGTGTGGGAGGGTTCACGTATGTTAGTCTGGAACTGGTTGGCAATGGAAGTTCATGAAAATATCTAGTTAGACCAAACTCATAAGGAACTGGTAAGACTGTGTTGAAAAATAAGGAAATAGCTTAGAGTGCATCAGGCTAGGTCAGGGAGTCGCTCTCCCTCTCCCCCACCCCCACCCCCACTGAAACACAATTCAAGCCGAGCCAAAGACCCCATCTCAAGCCAGAGATCAAAGCAGTTCACAAAATGACTAGGGATTTTGTATTTGAAGACTTTTCTTAATCGCAGAAGCTGCCTAGGGGACTACACAATCTCATCTCATGAAGCTTATACCAAAAACAATCAGTCAGCTCCAAACCCTTCATCCCACACAACATGGCATTAGTCTTGCTGGGAACGGTCTGGACAGCCGCACCTTCTCCGCAATCATCGGAACCGCTTTTCCTCCCCCCGCCCCCACTCACTGCTTCTGCCTCCCCCAAGCCCCCAGAGGAATATTCAAATATCAGAAACGGGATTATTATTGAGAGGAATTTGCAAATACCTTCCAGGCAGCAGGTCCTCCACAGCCCTGAGTGTGTCATTACTTCTTCATTCTTCCTGCTGGTTTCATTATCACTTGTAGATTTAGTCCTGCACACACCTCTGGAATATAACCAGTAGTCCGTGCCCACTGCAATGGTCATTAAACTAAACGCTGCAAAGGCTCCCACAGTGGTGATCAACATCTGGATACCTCTGTCACCCATCCTCATAATTCTTCATGGTATTCTGTATGGCTGGGGGTGGAAGGGGAAGTTCAATGCCGGAGGAAAAAAATCACTCTGCAGCTGGGTAACCTAAGACAGGCTCTTTCAAAAATTCGGGTCTTCGTTTGTCAGCATCCACAGGGGCTTTGGGAAAGCTGGGCTTTCCTGTCTGGAGCTCTCTCCAGTTCCCTGGTTCGCCTATGGCCCTGGGAAGGGTGCAGGCTCCAGGGGGCTGGTCCACATCACTGCTGCCTTCTGAGGGTCCCTGGATTCCTTTCATTCCTCGGGAGGTTGGTAAAGATGAGAGTCCGTGCAAGGCATGGCTCCGGAGCCTGGAGCTGCCAGCTCGGTTTGAGATGCGCCTGGCTCCTCACAGCCCCGGGAGACTCAAGGCAAAGAAATCCAGAGAGGTCTCGGTGTGTGCGCGTGTATGTGCGCGCGCTCGCGCGTGCGTGCGTGCATGTGTGTGTGTGTGTGTGTGCGCGCGCGCGCGCGCGCGTGTGCTGGGGGTGAGGGCGGATGGCAAAAAATAGCACTGCTGGGAGGCGAGTCGCTGAGAAGAGTGTTCACTGCTTCCCCTGCCTCCCAGGAAAGCTCTCCGCCTGCTGCCGACACCCCCGCTCAAACTGGAGGAAAGAGAGTCGTGGGGCGGGGCCGGCGGTTTCAGGGGGGCAAAGGCCCGCGGTGCTGAACGGACAGCTCCCGCCCGCCGCCCCGCCTCCGCCATCCGAACGCCCGGGCTTCGGGTCCGCGGTGCTGAACGGACAGCTACCAGCCTGTCACTCCCGCGGCTGCACCCCCGCCCTTCTGGCGCCGGGGCTAGAAACTGGGGCTGCAGGAGGGTCTTCCCCTCCCCCCCTCCCCCGCCCTTCCCTGGCCCTTCCCAGGATGGGTCTGAGCAAGCCCACGCTCCGCTCAAAGTTTGGGGAGCTGGGGCAATCAGAGCCGCTCCTTGCGCTGCAGCACAGCCTGGTCCCTCCGCTCCCGCGAGAGTTAAGGAGAGGGGAAGGGGAAAGAAGCCCGCAGCGCACCCTGGCGCTCTCACAGCTCGCACCCAGCGCGTCCCCACCTTCCACCGCACCCCCACCCCAACCCCCACCAATGTGCCAGGCAAGTTTGCCTTTTGCTGCTGGCTCTGCTGGAACCCACTGGGAAAGACCCAGTCTTCTTAAAGGGACCTGAGACTCTGGACGACAGTTCCAAGGCTCACTTGGGTGGGCAAAAAGTGTTGTCACAGACACATCTGTGTATAGTCTGTCTCAATGTGGCTCCCCACAAAACAAGCAATATGTCTACCCTCCTTTCTCTGGAGCCCTGGTGTACACCGGAGACCACATGTTCAGATCAGACCTGGAGCTGTTCATATACATATGAGCATGCACTCCTAAAAGAAAGACGGGCTCATTGTATACAGACTCTGTTGCACACATATCAGGGGTTTGGGGAAAGGGGTGTTTAACATTGATCTCTGGATATACCTCATATGTTTTAACAATCCTACATTGCGGGGGTGGAGGGCAGAGATGGATTCAAGGGGGGAAAGTCACGGAAAACATCAGATTCCTTCCACAGGTCCTGGGTGTTCCTTTGTTGACATCCTTGTCTAAGTTAGGCCAGGGGCAGGTAAAGTTAGTCCAAAGTGCAAATGCAAAGTGCAAAAGCACACCCGAAAGCTAGCGAGGCTCTCCCTCCGAAATAGTCAGTGTTGCAAAAGACCAGCATTTAACCGGCTTTTTCTTACCACGCATTCTGGCATACACATGAGCAGTCACTGAGTTAGCTAAAAACAGTCCACAGAATGCCTTGATCCCCCCCTCCGCCATCCACACCGTGGCCTGATGGGATGGATGCCCCGAGGCCAGTGTTTGGAGTGGAGGCTGCTTGGGTGATTTCTATAGTCCCTGAGATGTGTCCATAACCAACTGTAATGTTGGAATGTTATTTGACAAAAATATAATGGGAGTTAGTCACAGCCACACCTGTTCTGCTGCCACCTCTGGCTGTCCGAGAGGTCTACAGACGACAGCAGCAGCAGGTGCGGAAGAGTGCTCAAGGCAGCCACACATTCTCGGGGACTTTGCTACTTGTCTTTGGTGCTAAGGTCACTTGAAGTCTTGATTCTTGGTTTTAGATATACCTGCATGTGCACGATAGGTTTGAATATATAGTCATGGTACAATTATGTTGACCGGTGCTGTGTTTAATTTAATTGTGAGTTCTGAGTTTGTTGTAGAATAAACAGACATGTAGCTATGTCTGTGCTGCATGAGGTGTTGTGTGCCATGTAAATGTACTTCTGTAAATGCATAGCTTTTTGCATGTGTGGGTGGACATGCCTGGGGCTAGGTATAGTGTGGGCTTGTGTACCTCTCTGCATATGCATATGATTTGTGGGCAGGAAGTGGAAATATTTAAAATTTTCCACATAACCAAAATGAATGATAGGAAATGGAGGGGGGTAAACAGGGCCTTCTTTAAGGTCCCCCTCAAAAAATTTTTTTTGCTATAGCCCTGGCCAGTTTTGCTCAGTGGCTAGAGGATTGGCCTTTGGACCAAAGGGTCCTGGGTTCGATTCCAGTCAAGTCCACATACCTTGGTTGCAGGCTCCTGCCTGGCCCAGGCTGTGGTCAGGGCTCGTGCCGGAAGCAACCAATCAATGTGTGTCTCTCACATTGATGTCTCTCTCTATCTTTTCCTTTCTCTTCCACTCTCCCTAAAAATCAATGGAAAAATATCCTCGGGGCGGGGGGGGGGGGGGGATAAACAACTAAAAAGCCACATGTAACATGAGGTGAAACTGGTCTTTCCTGGGAGGGTTATTAAATATGTGACATTTTCTTTCCCCCTCTCAGAAATACAAACCATATGAATTAATAATAATAACCCAAACAGCCATTTTAGGATCCATTTGCTTCTTTCCTTGCTTCAGTCGGGATGAGAAGGGCCTTTTCTCAAAGCAGGACCATGTACGTGGAAGTGCAGTGGGCTTGGGCTTAAGGCCTCCCCCCACTCACCAGACCCACCGTCCACCCACAGCAGCTCCCTCTCCACCTCCTCAGCTGTCACTTAACCCCAGGCAGGCGAGGCGTGGTGCCCAGGGGGTCGGGTATCCAGGCAGAATAGTGTGGAGTGGGGACAAGGGGCAGAGCTCAGGCAGATGGTGGAGTCAGGACGTGCACACATTTTCTGAAGGAGAGAAAGGGACACGTGTAGAAAGAACGGAGATTTGTACTGAGCCTTTGACCACAGGGTGTGGGAAGCCCTGAACCTGCCTGTGGAGCAGTTAGAACACCTGAGTGGCGTGGGCGTGAGGAGGCAGGGCCACGGCCAGTTAGTTCCTGATGCTGCCTCCCCACTATCTGGGGGGTGACCTCACCCTTTCATTCAGCTGATGCGTAGGTGTGTGTATACATGGGTGCTTAGACTCGGTTTCTACGGAAGCCTAGATACAACTGCTATTTCACCACTAGAGGGCTCTTTGATCATCAGTCAAGGGCCCAAGAGATTCAAAGCGCTCTTCCTTAGAGCGATGGAGCCAGGCTCTCTCTCTGTTTGCTGATGACTTCTCTAATCCTTCTTATGAGGCAGGAGACTGGGAGGCATTTAGACAGCTTGAAACTGACATTTGATTCCCTTACTAAGGCTCCTTCCCCCTCCTCCCCTTCCCCATACCCCACACCCACTGGACTCAGCTAGGAGAGCAGCTGGCAGAGCACCCCAGTCCTTTCTGCGGTTCACCCTCTCAGAGTCGCCCTTATCTCAAGAGGGGTCAGTGCCCCCCGGAAGTGGTTGAGGGAGGAGTACTGGAGGCTGATTCCATTCAATAAACGCTTCTTGAGTGCCTACTGTGCACAGGGCCTTCTGCTTAGCGCGTTGGAGAATGCAAGGACACGGCTCCTGCCCCCACGGAGCCCAGGCTACGGGAGGGGATAGTTTGTTAGTCCATTTGGCTGTAAAGAGCAGAAACTCACTGGAGCCAGTTTAAGAAATCGGGGGATTTGGTATAAGGATGCGGCTGTGTTTTAAGGAGCATTAGGACAAAGCCACCAGGGGGCCTCAGCAAGGAGCTGAAATCAGGGAGGAACGCCATTTTCATCTTCACTGGGTTTTATATTTTTAGTTGAGAAAATTGTTTTGCCTTTCCTACTCTTCGATACTCCCGATGTAAGCTAGGTTTTGAGATTTCACGTCATCTCTTTCAAGATACCCACCCAGACTAAACAGGGCAGTTTCAATCCCAATTACAAATGTCCAGGGGAGACGCACTGATTGGCCCCGCTTGTGTCACGTGCCCTCTCTTGGCCCAACCAGTGTCCCCAGCGCCAGCGTCCTGTAGTGCAAGGTGGTGTCAGTGCCAGGCCCTGGGGGCTGGGGAAGGGAGACATTGCTCAGATTAGGGGGGGTTCTATGACACCTCCACTTGGATGGTGCCATGGGCTCCGCAGAACAGCAGGGCCAGGAAGGAGACTTTGGAAACTGCTAGAGAGGAAGTGGGCTGCGTGTCGGTGTCGCCTCGCCATGGCCTGTGCCCTTCTTCTCAGGGGCACGGGTTAAAAGAGAAAAACTCCTCTGAGGGAAAGGCACCCACATGGGCAAGCGAAGGAGATGGTGAAAATCACCCAAGAGCTTGCCAGTTCCTGTCGCCCAGAGCAGCGAGGAAGCTGAGAGGTGGGAGGAGGGGCGGAGGGGAGGGGCAACCCCGTCTCACAAAGAGAACAGTCAATGGGTACCGCCTATGGCTGGTGAGGGCTGAAGGTTGGCGCATGTTATTGAACATACAGAGATAACCAAGGGATGCACTAAAATGATCTACAACCAGGTTTCGGGTGAAGTGAGCTAAACTAAGGCAGAAATGGGTACTTGTGGTTAGCGTTGGGGAGAGGCCTGGCGTGGGAAGGACAGCTGCTTTTCCTTACAGCTCATTCGATCCTATTTGATTTTTAAAAACCTCATACATGTATATCCAGAAAAGCGTTTAAAGTCAATTAAAAAACAAATGGAAACAGCAGCATGCCCTGTCTATCTCTCCCAGCCCCTCCTGCTTTACCAGCGCAGAAATGCCAGGCTCACCCAGCCGGTCCCTGTGTCTGGAATGCTCTTCCCGGAGGCATTCTTCTATTAAAAAAGTAACACTTATTTGGAAACAATTGTGAATTTACCTGGAAGTTGCTGCCATGGTTGTCACAGTTCAACCCCTCACTTCATTCGGACCTCAGCGGGAGTGTCGGCTCTCGGAAACCCTCTGTCACTGCCCTCCCCAAAACAGCGCCTGCACCGCTCCCCCTCTCACTCGGCGCCGTTTTCCTCCCAGAGTCCGTCAGTACCTGACATCATCCTCGGTCACATGCACGTTTGGAAACAGGTTCACATATATGTTTGCGTGCTTATCGCCATCTCCCCAGCCTAGAGCAAAGGAAAGAACCTTTTTCCAAGGACAGTGGTTCGTGTTGTCACAGCTAACTCACAGGTCCTGGGCAGTGCCCGGGATACAGGAGGCCTCCGCTGGCACGCGTGTAACCAGGTAATCGCATCCATAATCACTGTCTCACGCTCTGTGGGAGGCACTGGCAGATCAACCCTAAGCAAG